ACTTAAATATATATATTTATACTTTTTCAAATTCTTTTTCATTATAGGTTATTACAAGATACTGGGTATAGTTTTTGTGCTACACAGCAGGACCTTGTTATTTATCTATCTTGTATATAATAGTTCATATACACGGCTGTGGCTCTTAAAAATCTAGTAGGACCCAGGAGAATCTGGGCTACACTCACATAGATCCCACAGGAAATACTTAAGGGCAGTAGAAGGTCAATGAAGGGATAGATCACTGAGAGAAAGAATCACCAGATAAGTCTTCAAAGGAGAAGGTAAGACTTTTCCTTGACTTTAGGATGATCATAAGAGAAGACAGGGTGCACTGAGTTGAGAAAGAGTATTACCTATGTGATGGTCAGCAGGAAGACTCGCTTTACCAGGGTCTCCACCTGAGGCAACCTCACACTTGCTTCCAAAGATCCGAGTTCTACAGGAGTCAGAATCGCTGGAGGACGTAGCCTCTGACTCCTGCTCCTATTGGCAGTGACAATTATGAAGGATGTAGGAAGTGGAGGTCAGCCTCTGTGTTTCATCAACAGTCATCATCAGAGGAGAAATGAGACGATGCAGTGTCTACAGGATGAACAATTCATTACAAATGAGAATAGGGGTCCTGACGTCTACTGTGAATCATGCTTGCCCAAGACCAAGTCATTTTTTTTTTTAATCTCCTTCAACTTTTTGGCTTCACCTTGTCAGGCTGCCTCTGGAAAGGAAAAACACTTCTTTTTCAGTTGGACACAAATTTAGGATACCTGCGATAGATCACATCAAAAATGATTCTGGCATACTTCTTGGTTCTGGACAGGGCCGTGATGATGATACTCTAGGAAGAAGGTCCAAACCTTCCCACACAAAGACACATCACTTGACAAAAGAGTGAAATGACCTCTCGGGCTTCCTCGAACACTGCTAAAAGCCAGCAGCTGTAGAACAGGCTTGGGAGGGTGGGGCAGATAATGAAAAGAAGTCCAAGTAACAAGCAACAGGGTGGAGAGTTGTCTGTCAGGGAGATGCTGATGGGCAGAGGAAGCTATCATGTGAGTCTGACAGCAGGATGCATGTCCAAACAAGCAATGTCGAGGGGATCTGACAGCAGGAAAGAGGGACCCCGGCTTAAGAACTTGGTTTCAGGCGTAGCACTTTGTGTACTGGAGGAAATTGAGGGAAAGCCAATGCCCAAAGGACAGGGGCACAGGGCGGGGACCAGGAGAGACTCAGCAGTGGGGGAATAAGATAGCAGACCACTTCCTAGAACTGGGGAACAGACAACCTTTTGGTATCGAGCCAACATGTCCAGTGACTCGGTTGCTGGAAATGCATATGAAACAGCACAGACAGAACAGTTTACTTAACTGATGGATTAATTTATTGATCGAGATTAAATGGCTGAAAGAATAAGATAAAGAAATCAGTCTTCTAACATTTTATCTACTGTCCAGTTTTCTTCCATCAATCCTTTTATTTAAAAAATCATATTACCTCTTTAGTTTGACCCCTCTTAATATTGACCAAATTTTCAAGAAGGCGTTCCTCTGGCTAAATTATTCCAAATAGTCTCCAGAGAATGGAAGACAGGTTTTTGGCTAAACACCAGACTGCATCTCTCCTTTAGAAGGGATCCCATCACTTCCATTTTTCTCAGCCTTTCAAGACAGATTTTTGATTCTCACTCAGAAATTTCTGTATTATGTGGGCAGTGCTAACTCCAGTGTAGATGACATAAAAACTATTAATAGATTATGCCTATAGTAAAGCTGAAGTAGAAAACAGAAGTGTTTCAAAAAGAGAAGTATAAAATGAAAGAAAGGGGATCAAAAGGCAAAATATTTTGCCTTCCAAGTTAGATGGCTGTCTTTGTGGAAGGACATATTTCAAAAGCAATATAAAATCTTTATGGTGCTCTTAACTATCTATATTTGGATTTTTTCGCCTATTTTATCCTGCTGATTGGTGAAAGAAGAAAGACTATGTTAAATTAAGTTAAAACTTTAAACTTATCTTTGCTCAGAACCAGCTCCTCCGAAATCACTCTTTGCAGTGAATAAGACCCAGACTTCAGTGACTTTGCTGTGGGTGGAAGATGGAATAGCTGATTTCTTCGAAGTCTTCTGTCACCAACTTGGCTCCAGTCGGGAAACAAAACTCCAGGTACCGTGCATTTTGAGTTTCCTTTTCTGGGTGAGTTTTGATTAAGACTCATTATCTGAGCAAAATAAAATATTTTATTTCTTTGATACAAAATGAAAACTTTTCATTTGCACTTCTGTGTTTCAGTAATAGACATGCACAATTACTCCTAGAACAGGCTCCAAATATGTTATTATTAGAACTGGCCAAGTCACAAAGTTTGTTTTCTTCTTTGTATTTATCTTTTGTCCCCAGTTCTTTGCCACTCTGGGTCATAGTGAGGAGTTAAATTGATTCATGTTTCCTTTTAGCCATGAAATCAATAAAAGGGATGAAGACACTGAATTAAAATATAATTCAGGGGGGAGGGTTTAGCTCAGTGGTAGCATGCGTGAGGTCCTGGGTTCAATCCCCAGTACTGCCATTTAAAATAAATAAGTAAATCTAATTACCTACCCCCTCCAAAAAAAAAGTTAAAAAATATAATTAACAAATATGAATGAAGCACAGTTACATGAAAGGCATGGAATGGAACACAACTGGTAGAATCAATATTGGCCTTCAAAATTGTTTCTTACTGAGCTGTGGATATTGCATTAGAGTTGAAATAACTCAAATAAAACTAGACAGATCCATGCTCCTAAGGGAATTTAAAAGAAGGGTCTGTCTCTAGTTAGTAAGGAGGATAATTTTATTTGGGGAAGTGAAGGCTTAGAGAGGGGATTGTTAAAGCTGTAGAATCACAACCAGCAGACGTGATGAACACTGAGTTATTCACCAGGCCCAATCGGATGGAGAGAGAGAGACGGACCCATATCCCTGAGGGTAACAAAACCACAAGGGAAAAATATTTTACAGCCAGGCGTGGAAGGAAAAGGGCAAGTCTGTGAGGGATGTCACAAACTACGGTGCATAGACCAATACTACACACAGGAACAATTGATGCTTCTTAAAGGACGCAGTTCATGAGACTGAAAAGGAAAAGGATTTCTGGGAGTAAGAATCTTTTCATCCTGAGTGTTAAGATAACTTGCTTTGATTCCTTTCCCTTTGTGACAGTCTCTTCTACAAAATTATCTCTTTTTGGTCTGTACTGAACAGCTGAATCTTTGTTTTTCTTTCTGTCCTAAGACTCCTTTTTGAAAATAACTGCTCTTCCAGCAGTGAATTTTCTTCTCTGCAACCGCAGTCACGTCTCCCTTTAAGAAAACAATGGTTAGGTAGCTACTTACTAAAACCGAGTCCTGTTAGCAGAAATCTTTTCTTACAATCGGTCTTTTATAGGATGAAGGAGATGGGAGTGGGACATCTGTGCTGCTGGCTCTCACATCTTTAGGCAGAGGTGTTGCAGATCCTTGTTTTGAAAAAGAGTGTTATGCCAGATCATCTTTTTATATCCAGTTGTACTTGTCAGTGGTCTGGCCAGGGGCCCACCAAATGAACAATTTGCTCTACTCAAGAATAAGTTAATATTCAACATTTTTGAGAACACAAAGTCTTTATGCCTATGGCAAAGCTGAGAATGCAGACAAAGGGGGCAGTGTTCTTCATATACAAAGAGCTACTACAAATGAAAAAGAAAACGACCAATGCCCCCAAGTAAATATTTCATAGGAAAGAAACACAAAAGACTCTAAATCATAGACAGAGATGATCTGGCTCACTCACGGTGAAAGAAATGCAAAATAAAACTGCAGTGAGGTAGAGTTTCCACTGATAAGATCTGAAAGCTCAAAAAATCTGTGAATTTGTTGTGTTGAAACAAACATAGGGAAACAGGTGTTGTCACACATTGAAGGTAGATGGGTCCCTTGGAAATGTGTATGGAAGAGAATTTGTCAATAGCTTATAGAATTAAAAATGTACAATTTTTTGACCCAGCAATTCAACTTCTAGGAATAAGTGTGTTTGTGTGTGTGAATATATATGTATATATATATGTGTATGTGTGTGTGTGTATATAGATTGACACACACACATACACAGGTTTTGTGTATGAATGCATATGTGATGTGTATATATATATATATATATATATATATACACACACACACACACATACATACATGTATTATGAGTGTGTGTATATATACATATGTTCCCATAATTGTGAAAATTATGTTCACTGTACAAGCACTGTTTGTAATAGCAAAAAAATCAGAGTCCACTTAAACATTTATTAATAGAGGACTGGTCAAATAAAGTATGTTCTTTCAGTGGATTTCTATGTAGCCCTTCAAAGGAAACAGCTTTATCTGTGCTGATACGGAAAGAATGCCAAAATATGCTGATAATCAAGATAAAAAAAAAGCAGAATGATGTGTAAACTGTGTTATCACTTACATTGTAACTCTATTTTACATGTTTATACATCCATAAAATATAGATGGGAAGAAAAATTTAAAAACCTCACATAGTGGCTGCTTCCGTGGAAGAGTTGGATGGATGGAAAGTATGGGAAGAAGGAAAGATTTTTCACTATCCTTTTCTGTCTTTTAAATTTTTTGCTCTGTTCACGTTACCTGCTCATCCGAAAAATAATTTTAAAAAACAAAGTAGATGAAGATTACATAACATTTCCCTTGCTTTCTGCATCGCCAGGAACCGGTTTCTGTTTCTTCTCATGTTGTGACCATCTCCAGCCTCCTTCCTGCCACCGCCTACAACTGCAGTGTCACCAGCTTCAGCCACGACAGCCCCAGTGTCCCGACATTCATAGCCGTCTCAACCATGGGTAATTACAGGCATTGGTGGAATCTGGTGTCTTTGGGAATGATATCTTTCCAGATTTTCTGTAATTTTGTTTTTAAATGTAGATAATCCGTCTTTTTAATAAAACCCATGTTGCATTGAAAAATTCCAAGCTTTGGGTTCAGGGAGCTCTTCATTTCAATCCTGAATTTTGCTTACTAGCTGTGTGATGTAGGGAAAGATTTTTACTATCCCCAAACTTTTTTCCATTCATAAAACTGGAATAATAATATATACCTTGTTGAGTTGTATTGAGGCTTAGAAACAAGGTATAGAAAGCCTTGGCATATGCTGTCTAAATGCTAGTTGTTGTTATCAACTTCATAATCTCCATCATCCTCTGCAGTGGTAGCTATAGTGCCCAGATCAACTCAGGTACATCTGGCCTACTCTTGGCCCCTGGCTGTCGCTGATTAGATAATGGCGAACCTGAATTCCTGGGTCAAAGCAGAAAAGTTTCCAATCCAGCAGAAAGTATAAGTGGGGAAATTAGAAACTGATGAAAGTCTAGAATAATGCCACTTCCTTATTCTTTTTGTGAGTTTTGTTACTTGTGTTACTCCCCTGCTTGAGTCTGATTCTGCAATCTGAGATGCTCTCTTAAGCTTCTTACTACCTCATGACCCCTTTACTGGGTTCATTTTCTTGTACGTTACATTAATCATATGTTACATTCAGTGCCGGCTAGGGTAGACTGTTTTGTTTTGTTTTGTTTTCTGGTTTTTATTTTGTCTTTTTCAGAAGAGAGGGCAAAAGTGACCTGAAAAGTATATTAAGGGTCTCTCATTTCTACATCCTTTTACACTTTTTCTAAAAATATTTTAATATCTGTTATCTCTGCAGCCACCAGTGAAACAGGTGATTATTATTAAACTTATTTGCAAGTGAGGCAATGAGACCAGGAGAGGTGAATAAAATAGCTTCCCCAAAAGGCAGACAGTAGTGCAGCGAACTTGAACAGTCTCTTCTGACCACGAGTCTAATGGTCCTTCTGTTCCAGGACTCTTCCCACAGCTGTACTGACCAGATGGGAAATGGCCAACACCCAAAGCCTTAGGGGTTGTGGGGGCCGGCCATTTCTGTGCCTTTATGATCAATGTAGAGGATGGTAGCGCCTCTTTTCCTCTGGTCCACGTTTAAGAGTTTTATAAAAAGATGTGACATAAATTCCCACCTGTAACATCCTGCTCCCCCAGGTAGTGTGTGGAGTAGGCACTGTGTAAGCGCCGTAGAAGGTGGGTCACAGAAGACCTAGTATTGAAAGGGACACAACCTCTCTTCTTAAGGGCCCTACAACTTACTAATAGGTTTAGTCTCTTGAGCTGTACAGATGGGAAACCTCTAAACATATGGTTACCGATCATCAGGATGCCTGCTTCTAGCGATGTGTCAAGTGCTGTAGCAGATGGCGGCTTGCTCGTGCCTTTTGCATGTACGTTATTAGTTGCGAGGGAAATGTACAGTTGTGCTTGCTAACTTTAAAGTCGTGGGCATAAAATAAGAGCCTGCCTCTCTCTAAGCTTTTGAAAATGTGAAACAATGACAATGACTTCTGGATTTTTTGTTTCCAGATGAACGTAAACCATGGCATCAGCATTCTTTACATTTCACGTTTTCCTTTTAGAAGAGCATCCTGACTGGGGGTCTTGGAAGTGGACTCAGTTCTTTTAGCCACTTGCACATCATTTGTCAATTCACTTTACTAAGTAATAGTAAGGAGGAGGCCATTGCAAGCTTAGACAAACATCCTTGTTGCTGTTGTCATCAGCACACGTTCGCTCGTCTTGAGAGCAGACGAAAAACCATGAATGGTTCTGTCAGTTTCCACGGCATGGAAGCTGCAATGAATCCGTCTGCCTTTTCTCTTTAGTTACAGAGGTGAATCCCAACGTGGTAGTCATCTCGGTGCTGGCCATCCTTAGCACGCTGCTAATTGGATTGCTGCTTGTTACCCTTATCATTCTGAGGAAGAAGCATCTGCAGATGGCTAGGTAAGTTGTGTTTTGCTGACCTTTTGCCTACAGCCTTTAAAATATTTTTTATTTATCAGACGTGTACGGCTTTTGCAGACCTAAATTAGACAGCGGTGACTTTGCTTTCAGTTTTTCCTGTCTATGTCTACCCTGTGTTTTCTAAGTAGACTTTTAGATATGATTTTAGAAAACATTGCCGTTGAAATAGTAAAGCGAAAGAGTGTTTGTTTACACAAAGCCAGACCCCTTGCTATCAATCTTGTCATTTTTAAGTAGCCCATACATTGGGGTCCATTCATTGTATTTGGATACTTTCAAACATATTTCAGACTAAAAGAAAGACATACTCAGTATGATTAATGAGAGGACTTAATATATGCGGAGATCGCAAGAGAGAAAAAAATCCCTTTCTTCATTGGTTCTGTTGAAGCTGTTTTATTAGAAAATATTTGTCAAGTTTATGCTTAGGTCCATTCAGGTACCCTTGTTGGTTCTGTCCCTGTTACACAGAGTCACAGACAGTATCATTTTTCTTGCAGTTTTGAAAGCCTTTTGATTCATGATTTTGTTGATTCCCTGTTCCTTTGGTTACTGATGCATCTCTCGTCCAAGCCCATGCTCAAGTTCTTTCTATGATTCCCCTGCATTATCCAAACAATCCATCAATTCTCTTTTTAAAAAATATATTGCCTAGTTGAGTATTACTGGGTTTAGGAAATTTGGATCAAATTTATACTTGCGCATTACTGCTGAAATGTCAGTTAACATTCATCTCCTTTCTCAAAGTTCTATCATTTATTCATTCATAAATAAACTTATGCATCCAATAATGATTTAGTTGCTACCTTATTTAGTACTATCAAAACAGTCAGAAATCCAAGCTGTCCACCAGGAAGTTAGCGCCTAGCTGGAGATATGTACATAAACAAATATATTTAAAGGTATAAACTGCCCTGTACCAGAAAGGAGATAAAAATGGGATGCCAGGAAAGTCAAGAAAAGGGATTAGTTCTGAATATAAAAATCAAGCTTCTTGAATGCCAGCATTTGAACAAATCTTAGAAGGATCGGGAGGGCAGTGGTACTGCACTGTGGCTAGAGTATAAAGCTCTGAAATTACACTCCTTGGGGTCAAATTCTAATTTACAACCTATGCGACCTTGTGCAGTTCATTGAAACCTCATTCGTTAACTTCACAAATATTACAGGACACCTGCTCTGTGTCAGACTCCTCCCGGTGCTTGGGATATGGCCGCAGATGAAGCAGACAGTAATTTCTGCCTTCACGGAGCTTGTATTCTGGTTGAGGAGATAGATGATACATAATAAAAGTGGAAGTGAAATGATTCCCTGGCACATCAGCAGATGATGGGAGAAGAGTAATAGAGCAGAGTGAGGGAGAGCAGTCAGGTGTGGCGGGTCTGGGGGGAGGAGCCCTGGGAGGCAGGTGGGTCTCACTGAAAGGGTGACATCTGAGAAAGGACTTGAAGAACATGAGGGAGTTAGTCATGTGTTATCTGGAGGAACAGTGTGCCCAGAAGAGGGAACAGCCAGAGCAAAAGCCCTGAGGCAGAAGCATGCCTAGCACATTCCAGGAACAGCAGCAAGGTCAGTGTCTCTATAGCGGAGGAGATGAAGGGAGGACTAGCAGGAGATGACACAAGATCCCACAGGACTTTGTAAGCCATTGTAAGGTCTTTGGTTTTCGTTCAGAGTAGAGGTCGCCATTGCAGGATTGGGGCCAGGAGATCTTATGTTTTAACATTTTCATTATGACTTCTGTGTAGAAAAGAGTCTGTATTGAGAGAAGGCAACTGGAGGGGCCATTACAGTGATCCAGGCAAGAGGTGATACTGGCTCAATTCAGAGTAGCAGCAATGGAGGTAGGAAGAAATGATCCGATTCTGGATATATTTTGAAAATAGAGGAATTTGCTCACGGGGTTGGCTAGCAAATTGGATGTGGAATGGAAGTGAGTAAGAGTCAAGGTTGGTGGCACGGTTTTCAAACCTACCAACTGAAAGGGTGGAGTTGCTATCAACTGACATAGGATTCCAGGTGAGAATTTCAGAGTTGGGGGAACATGGACTCCAGTTTTGTCAATGTTAAGTCCGAGGTGACCACAAGTGCAGGTGTGGAGGAGGCCACCGAACGTAACAGTCCGGTGTTTGGGGGACAAGTCTGGATTAAAGATAGAACTTTAGGATTCTTACCATACAAATGTTATTAAAGCTACAGACTGGATGAAATCCAGGACTTAAGTGTAAATTAGAGAAGACGGCCCTGGATTAAGCACCAGAACAAACTAACATTAAGCTTTTCAGGGAGAAAATAAGAGATAATGGCAAAAAATCACCAACAAGAGGCATTTGGTGGAGTGGAAGGAAAACAAAGAGAAGGCGGTCCTGGAAGCCAAAGAAAGAATGTAGATCAGAAAGAGATGGTAAAAACCCTACGTTAACAGGTGGCTAGGAGCAATAACGCAGCTATGGTAGAGTCATAGGAAGCACGGAATAAATGTTAGCCCACAGTAGTAACAGGGGAGAGGCGGGAACAAAGGTAGCAATGGAAGTAGTGGTATTCATGAAGGTATCACTGCAGGAGCATCCTTTGTGATGCATACAGCAGAATCTTTCAGAGGAGTGATTCTACTCCAGCCAGCTGGTCATTAGAGTGGATATTCTAAACATTATTTTGTGCCGGGATTCTCTCTGGCAGACTAATGACGCCTGTGGATCTCTTCAAGAACAGTGCTTTCCTTCTAAGTGCCTAAAATAAAACACATAGGATTAAAAAAAAGAAATTAATTATATGAAAATAGGGTAATCAACGTATTCAGAAAACAAATGAGTTACATGCATCTTTATTAGTACATCACATAACAATATTTAGTAAGGTATGTAAGAATGCTCGTAATTTCATCAGAGTGATGACTATGAACCATATTTTAATATCAGCAGCAAGTCTATTATAGAAAATATATGCAATTTCTATTCTCAAACCTCACAAGTACGGATGATATGATTGGCGCTTGTTGCCTACTTTAATAACTGAAGGAGTTGCTAACTTTCAGTTAGAGGTTGTGAAAATAAAGGTGTCCTTTTTCCTACTTGTGTTCCTTGAGCCCTAAATTCTATCCTTGGACCCCAGATTAAGAACCCTTGAATTAGAGAGTAAAATAAATCCCATATACAGGACATTGACATAGAAACATTAATTGATGAGGTCCAATTTATAATACATACAACATGAAATGATATGTTAGTGTATTTTTCAAGGAAGAAAGCTATTCTTTGAACACTCTAATGAGAACAGGCAGATAACTGAAGTAATTAGTACATTGTGCCAATAATGGCAAAATCTGCTTCAATTCTGAATAAGCCCATCAATTTCTTACAGAGGGAAAAATGAGTCGCATATGCCCCAGGGAGCTATGTTATTTACACATGATATTAAGCAAAAAGTGGGGAAAGCATGAGAATTATGTTTACCTTTTTCCTCCACTTCTGGAAAATAAAACTTTAACAAAATTTTCTGCTGACAGATTAAGAGGCAAACTTCTGGAGAGGAAGCTCTGCAAAAGTCCATCTATTTCATTTTAATATGCATCACTCCTTTACTCTCAGGTGATGAATTAAATGAGCGTCACAATATGAGGGGAGAATTCTGGAGGAAGAAAACAATGCAGTTGGAGCCATTGTCATTATAGAGAGGAAATTAAATGCTACAAAAACAAAGAACATTTACTAAAAATGGGAAGCCCTCGGTCTGTCCAGGAGAGTTTCTATATCTTACTATTGAAGGGTTTTTGTAAAAAGTATTGTACCCCAAATAGTTCAAAGATTTCTGTTAGGATCATGAGTGCCATTTGGTAAGGATTATGAACCAAATCATTTGGCTTCAAATAACTTGATTTGGGTGTATATGCCCTTGTGAAAAATTGTTTTGTTTTAGCTTTCTATTTTGCATCATACACAAAATAGGAATACATGGAAATTATATCAGGTTTTTTTAAAATTGAATGCTGTGAAGGTTAGCTGTTAAAGACTTTCTTTTATGTCAAGGTCAAGAGCGCTCTGTCAAGCAGTAACCTTGGTTTTGTGGTTTCTTTCCAACAGGGAGTGTGGAGCAGGAACTTTTGTTAATTTTGCATCCTTAGAGCGAGATGGAAAGCTTCCATACAACTGGTGAGTATTGTTTTGGAACGAGTCTCTACGGGGCTTAGCGATGCTGTGTGTTCTCCAAACCCGACTGCGTTATTTTTGGGGGTAGATAGTTTTGCCTGATTATCCTTTCATAATTTCAATGATAGTGGATTTTTAAAGATTACATCTTTTTCGCTGAGTACATTCGTTGATACAAGTTTAATTCAATTAAGAAGGAGAGAAAATACAGTAGATGGCTCTGTATTTACCATATTACACAGAGGACAAAAGCAGTTGTGCAAGTCGCCCAGGACGAGGCTGCAGAAGAGCTGGAATGAAATGCGAAATGCAGGAGCCGCGCCGAACAAGAGTGGCTGCAGGCAGGAGGGGAGGCTCCATGTGAACTGCGGGAGATCACTATTTAAAACTTGCACTTTAGTGCCTGGGGAAATGAGCCGCCACTTTGGTTCAAAAATCAAGAAGTATACAGCCCAGGGCTCTCAACTCCTATGCTTATAGGCAGCAGACTGTCAAAGCCAGGAAATTTCCATGAGAAACGTAGCCTCCTGTTTCTTTATGCTTGAGTATTAAGGACCTGGAGGGAAGAGGTATTCTGAGAATTAAGAAAGCATCGTTATGAGGTTAAATTAGTTGACATTACACTTAACAGTGATACAGGAGAATTAATAATCCTATACTCAGCAATGAATACCCAACAAGATTGCTGACTAAGTAACCACTTCATACGCCAGCACTGCTTCCATGGTCTAGTTTGTTTCTTTCATGCAAAGCACATTTAAATATACATACATTTCAGGTTAATCCTCAGTAAGTGATTCTTTTCTATTTCCTAACCGCCCCAAAATGGTTAATCTGAAAGAAATAAATATAAAGACTGGAAATTTTACCCTCAGAGTTAATGGAGGGAGGGCTTTCTTTAAACTATAAGTTCTAATTCCTTAAGTGGGCAACTAGTTGAGACCCACTCTAGTTGAAACTCTAGTTGAAATAGGATTCTTTTCAACAAGACAATACGTTGTGCTGCCCTGAAGCTTCAACCTGAATGGAATTTTGGCTGCTCAGATATGATTCACCCAACTGTGAAGAAAGAGAAACACATAAACTCTGGATGGTAAAAAGTTAAGAAACATTTCTAGATTTGTTCAAGCGTAATTAGCACTGTTTCCCGAATGAGGAGACTAACTCGCTCATGTTTGTTTCTTGCCTGGACCACCCTTAAAAAAGCCCAGTCCACAGAGCAGTGATGAGGGGCCCATCTGGGAACGGATCCAATTATACCTGTGACTCAGGAGGGCTGTGAATTGACTGACTACGCAATCGGTCACAATACAGAAAATTCATGAGAGACCAGTTTTGGGAGAACTGAGGCAAAAGAGAATTCATTCCAGGACCTTTCTGTAAAATTAAGAAAATTCTCTTGCAGCCCTGGGTAAAGGCGGTTTTGCCAGCACCAGGATTTTCTGGCTAGCTGAGACTACATGTCTCGGTGGAGACTTGTAATAGCTGAAGTAACAAGGTGACAACATTTTCTCCTCTAATTCTCAGAATAACTCTAGATACAAACATAGGCTATTTTAAAATCTGCATTAATAAATGTTCCATTTCACAAATGGTTTAAATATCTGGTATTTGATTCAAACCAGGCATTTTAAATCAACAGTCTGAATTAGAGTTAACATGAAACTAAATAATTTTGCTCCCACTCAACTGAATGTAAGTAAGATTAGAAACTAGGCAGGTAATGAGCTATGTATCTTGAATGAATGATACCTGGGTGTCATACCATACCTCTGTTTTAAGAGTGATTTTTTTTTTGGAAATGACGTATTAATTTAAATTTTAAATATTATAGAACATCAAACCCAGCAGTACAGCTTTGTAAGAATGTGTCCTGAAAAATTACTTACCAGAATCAGTGTTCATAAACTGACCATTTACATTTCCTTACACAAGCTGCTGTTAGCTATCAAATGATGTTTTAGAGGTTTTTTAAAATACGCTTAACACGGCAAGGGTAATATCCAAGAGTAAGACTGGAGATAACGAATGAGGCATTTCAGAGCCTCATTTAACTGAATGCAAAGTGTAATCACCTAATAGCAGACTAACTGACACAAACCAAGTTGAAAGAATTATATCTGATTACAACAAGGCCACGTGTGAATAAAACTGATTTTGGTAGTATCATAGTACTTAAAGCCTCATGTTTAAATTTCACAGAATTGAATAATATGTAATTGTAATTAAGGTGCTTGTCATTTTAATTAATCCCAGCAGGTAATTTACTGATCTCTGTTCACAGTTTGTATTACTAACTCTTGCTCACTTTTTCATCTTTACATCTGTTATCTATTAATGCTCACAGGCGTAGGAGTATATTTGCTTTCTTAACCCTGCTACCCTCATGTCTTTGGACTGATTATCTTTTGGCATTTTATATTAATCCTTGGTAAGTGATTTTTTTTTTTACTGTTTGTCTAACACAAAGTCTTTAAAAGTTAGCTTTCAAGAAGTAAACCGAAGGGAAAATCCTTTTTAATGAGTGTATGGGTTGAGCAGCATGTAAAATTATTAAACATGTATTGAAATGGATGAAAGTAGCTAATGGTACCAAGATGCTAACTGTATTGTCTTCCCAATTAAATTTTCATCTTGTGATGTTCTTGGCAAGCTTTTCTTCCACTTATTGCTGGTTATTCGTTTCTTTGTTGAGTCAATCCATTGGCTTTTCATCTTTGTAAATGATGCTTTCTGTTTTTCTCACCATCTCCATCCATTAGTGCTATACTTCCAAGAAGGAAGAAATGCTCTAAGTAGAGAAACCCTGAATACTATACTCTGTATTTGGGGCCTTCATATTTTTATAATAATGGTAACTCAATGAATATTGAACAACTGACTATGTGCAAGCCTGTTTGTGTAATTCTCTTATTTAATTGCCCCCACAACTCTGCAGAGAGCATTCTCAGCCCCATTTTACAGATGTGGAAATAGAGGCATAAGGAGATTAACTATCTTAACCTCACACGACTATATAGAAAACCCAGGCTCCAGAACCAAGTGTCTCTGAAATCTATTCTTTCCTCTCTAAAAAATGACTTCCTTTGAATAAACATGGAAACTATCCCCCTTTGAAAATAATGTTTCAGTGTTTATTCACTTGGCCTTTTTTCCTTCCCCTTCATTCTTTGAAGCACTGCTTAATATTCAATCTGTTGTGAAGAACCTGATTCGCACTCTGTTGTGTTTAAAGGAAAAAAAACTCTAATATTGAGTCTTTTAAATTTAGTGTATGCAAACAGCTTACAGTATGTATTGTCCAAATGCATTTAAATCTCTTTTATTCAAAGAAAAGCTAAAGCGAAAACACTGGTACGTAACCGTGGAGGACTGTCAGTGCCAACAAAGACAAGGCTAATCAGCGTATCCTGCAGTGGACTGCAGTCCGCTCCAAATTATTTGAAAAATGCATTGCAGACAACTTGCCTGACTTTTAAATGAGCTTAAAAGGCCCTCTACCCTATGCAGGTTTCCTCATCATGCATATGGAAAATGCTAGGGTGTTTCTGCTCACTTCGTATGTAACAGGTGCCCTTGTGTCGTGCTGTACCCTGTGCTTTTTCTGTGGGACCATTCCATTCAGGAGTGAAGAGCACTGTGATTCCAGGCTGTGTGTATTTACTAGCCCTGCCCTGAGGTTTGTGTATGTTGGATGTTGCGGTGTTTTAGATCACTGAGTGCACAGAAGAAAGAATTCAGACAAAAGATTGCTCTTCTTCAGTTTTCTTTGTGGAATTTGAAAGTACTCAAAGTTAAAATAAATTACTGGGCGGTAGAAATTTTTTTAAAAGCAACCTCCTTTCAATTCTTATTTTATTGATTTTTAAAATCATTTTAATAATCAAACCTCAAAGGGTGTCCATCTCAACTTTTATAAAGTGTAGTAATAATAATCTTGAATTTTGAGGCTAAAGTATCTAGAAGGGCTTTTTCTGAGCCATAAGGAAAAAGGTAGCCGTTTCCCAAAGGAAAAAAAAACATTGTCCTTAAGTATTAGTCCATGGTGTTTAGATACTAAACTATGTACAGACAGATCCAGAAATGTGGACAACTTGAGAAGGACTCCGAAAAAAGCAATAAAAATTATTCAAAGACTGGAAATGAAAATGGCTTATGGAGGGGTGCAGAGTTCAAGGTTTAAAGCAATCTGGAGGGTTAGTTATTCAAAAAGGTAATTGATCAGATGCTCTCCAGCTCCTCCGAAGACAGAATAAATACAGGGGGCAAAGTGTAGGACTTTGAGTTGCAATGGGAGAAATATAAAAACAGAACTGCCTCACAGTGGGGATTGTTAATGCCGGAATTTGTATTTTCTTTGAAAAGAGAGCTAGATAGAAAACTTTTGACGCGTGGTAGACACTGATGTGTAAGTACTTAAGTCAGAGAAATGTACTAGCTGATGAAAAGCTATTATGATGAAGCTGTTACTGTGATGATGTTATTCTGTGTTTATTCTTAACAACAGTTTCCAGTAGAGGACTTCACCATAGTCAACCAATACTTTAAGTATTTAACATCAGATAGTGTTCAGGTTTGAGCAGTACACAGAAATTCCATCTTGACCCTCAAAATACACATTTGCTTTAAACTCGAGATCGACTGATCATCGTCAAAGATTCTGCTTATTATTAGAATACCTGCAGCAGATACCCTTCAAGTACACTGCACAGATTTCAACTAAAACAAAAGAAAGAAAAATGCATGTACTGTTATATTCATTTCCCCGCTTACTTCTCTGACTTTCTCATTTTCCACAGTTTGTTTTAAGCTTATATCAGGCGAATCTACGCTAATTTGCTTATCTTCCTTAAAGGTCCCCCTGATGAACACAGCTTCAAATGTCATCAACGCCTTCAAGGTCTATCAAAGAGCATGAGATGCCTAGTTAGGGGGGGAAACTCTTCAGTAGTTTTCAGAAGATTTCTGAGACTGTAAATGGTTGTCTCCAGGTGAGAAGGGAAGGCAAAACATAGAGCCCCACGCTTTCTGTCGCTTTCAGTAGACAACACACATATTAGCCAAGGAAAATGTGCTGACCGCAGACTGTCTGCAGCCCTAGACCTGTGATCTGCCAGGTGTGAAAGAGAGGCGCTCGCAGTCCTGCTCCCTCAGCTCAGAGCTCTCACAAAGCCCCTCCGATGCCCCACGCTTTGCTCCCTTTCTCTCCAACTAACAAAATCGTGGCTATTTCCCCTTGCTTTCATTGGCTAAGTAGTCATCTTTGATCCTCCTTCAGATGTACTTGTTCCATACTTCACCCACCTGTTAACATCCACCCCAAATAACAGAGCCCCCAACCCACCCCCGTTCTTAACACACTACCCAGCTGCGGTCAGCTTCTCGGAAAGATGTGCCCCTGCTGATTGTCTAAAATCCTCCTGACGCCTCTGATGGTTTGTGTGGGAAACGAGAGACTCTTTCTCTCTCATTGCGTTTCTCAAATCTCCCAGCTGGTAGCAGAATCAGTGTGGAGCCTCAGTGCCCTGCTGGCTTAGCCTCGAGATTGTATTCTGCCAGGATTTCTGACTTTGATGATCTCTGATTGTTTCCTATTTAAAGAAAACCATCTCCTCTGGAGCAGCTCTTTATGGATTCAGTCTTGTCCCCTCTTTTTATTTTTACTATCCCAGTCACCACATGCTCCACTCATGTCTTCATCTGCCTGTTGTAAATCCTCAACTGATGGCATTTGAAGCACGAAGCAATATTTAGTTTAAACTGCCCAGCTTTATGCATGGACATGCATGTTCTATTCAGAGAATGGCATAAGTCTAAAGGTCGTTTTAAGCTGTGGAGATGATTTTGATTTAGCTTACGAAAGAGTAAGTAAAGCTTATGAAATTGGGATCATTTTGTGTTTTTTGCTTTTTTGGTTTTGCTTTCTGTTTGTTTTCAACCATTATAAGCCCCATTTCTCTGCCATTGCCTCATATTCCTCTTCAGGAGGAATTCCATTCTGGCTGGCTTTCCAAGGCTGTCATAACCTCAAAGAACTTATAAAGAATGCGCCTTAGCTTCTTGAAGTCAGTAGGGTTTTAAACCTTACCTAATGGAAGTTAAAGAGAAAAAGTTAAAGAAACGCATGATCTTGTAGGCGTATATACTGGATGTCAGATGGGTGCTACTGACCAGTTATCCACAAAACCTATTGTAATGACAAGTTGATGCCTTGAACATCCCCCAAGATGCTCACTGTAGCATCACACACAGGAGCTTTTTCCATAATGTGCTGAAGTGAAAATTGCTGGTAAAACCTTAACTTACAAGTTTAAAAGTGAATTTCCCCCCGACTGGAGTCTTAGAACTAGCCCAGGACTTGAAAATGTGGGAGAATTCTGTCCACATCGCTGTGGTGTCTCCTAACAGTCCTGTCATGCCCCACAGCCTTAAGATACAGGAACCCATAGGAATCTTCAGGAATTTCAACAAAATCTAATCAGAATAATGAAAATGGTACACAAATTATGAAGACATCCATTTAAGACAGTAAGGCAAAAAAAAAAAAAACCAAAAAAGAGACAATAAGGCAGACAAAACATGAGGTCAAATTTCACATTCTATTTAAGGTGCATTCAATCAATGAATGAGATTGAAAGAAAAAAAATCATGCTGCCCTTCCATGAATCAGGTTTGCACACAGCTGTGCAACAGCAGCAGCTTCGTCCTTCAGCACTGAATGTATTCAGCGTCACCCTCCCACATGCATTTGTTTCTTCTCAGTTCCCCTTAAAGCCTGTTTGGAAAGGAAAGGTTTTGTGTTTTTCTTTTTTTTCACTCTGAATCATGAAATACCTTGGCAGCCCACTGACTCTACCAGAACTGCTCATTATTATGCTAACATTCTGCTTCCATCAGGCACTAACGTCATGGACTCCTACCACACGAAGTACATGTAGGAGTTGTTTCTTTCTTTTTTTAAAAATTTTTTTTATTTTTTAACATTTTTATTGATTTATAATCATCTTACAATGTTGTATCAAATTCCAGTGTAGAGCACAATTTTTCAGTCATACATGGACATATACACACTCATTATCACATTTTTTTCTCTGTGAGTTATAAGATTTTGCGTATATTTCCCTGTGATATCCAGTATAATCTTGTTTATCTATTCTACGATTTTGAAATCCCAGTCTATCCCTTCCCACCCTCCGCCCCCTTTGGCAACCACAAGTTTGTATTCTATGTCTGTGAGTCTATTTCTGTTTTGTATTTATGCTTTGTTTGTGTTTTTTGTTTTTTTTTTTTAGATTCCACATATGAGCGATCTCATATGGTATTTTTCTTTCTCTTTCTGGCTTACTTCACTTAGAATGCTAGGATTTCTAACATTAACTACGTTACCATCACAAGAGCTGAGTAAAAATATTATCTGAGAGGTATTTCTTTCCTGGGGATTGAACCCAGGACCTCGGGCGTGCTAAGCATGCACTCAACTGCTGAGCTACACCCTTGAAGCTTTTTATCTAAATAAAGGAAATCCAAACACAAAGAATACAGAAAATTACGCACTAAGCACTCGTGTAACTTCAGCAAACTTTTTAAAATAAATACTAACATGTTGCCATTTTTGCTTTAGATTCATTTTTAAAGTTAATGTTGAAATGTTGAGATAATTATAAATTCATATGCAGTTGTAAGAAATAATACAGAGATTGATGGGGTAACTTACAAATTAGGCTTTAATAATGACCAGGGTAACTATAATGAAAAAGCATATTAAAAATATACATGTACAGGTGGAACTGAATCACTATGCTGTACACTAGAAACTAACACAATATTATAAATCAACTATACTTCAATTTTAAAAAATGATGATGAGACATATTTCTTTAGGTTCCCAAATGCCTACATGGTACAGCTCTGTCCAGTATGACAGTGGATTTGTTGGGGGAGGGAGGAGGGAAGGGAACAGTAAAAACTGGAATGTCTATTTCCTCTAAATCCCAAGTATGGAAGACAAAGAGGATGAAGGAGGAAAAATAGGACAAGAACTATCAAACGGATGGTCTTCATTCAAAACTGGGCAGAAATAGAAACCATCTGAAACTAGAAAAGGAAAATCAGAAACACGACTTGCCTTTGTGGATATTTCTCTATGTGTCTTTCACGGCATTACTCCCCACCACCCCACAAGTCCCATATCCCCAGTGGGATCCCCTATGAGCCCAAATCTAATATCAAATTTTTTTTAATTGAAATGCAGTCAGTTTACAATGTTGTGTCAATTTCTGGTATACAGCATAATGTTTCAGTCATATATATATATATATATATATACTACACACATATATATATATATAT